GGGGGCCACAAAACAGCAAGAATGGATCTTGGAAAGGAGACAACATGGAAAAGGCATGGGTTCCAAACTATATTAAATCCTTTTTAAAACCACCATCAAAAAAGCCAAAAAGGGACAGAGAGGGACAAAGAGGGACAGAGAGGGAGAACCAGGGTCTCGCGGTCTCGCCGAAGAGAGAGAGGGAGAGAGGTATTTTTTGGGGAGGATTGGAGATGTTTTTAATATTAGGGGGAATTCGGGTTATTTTTGCTGTCCCCCTAATACACCTAAAATCTGGGGCACCCCCGACTGTGGACCCACGAGTATTGAATTTCAAAGGGAGCAATTTCAAAACGCTACTAACAATTTTTTGGGGTCGGGCACATGTGTTTTTATTAATTGGGGTACGTTTATTAATAGTAACTCGGGATTAACCTATATATTTTAAACAAAACATTGTACAATCACATTCAATGCTTTCCACTGCCATGCAGATTTCCAAATAATGTGGTTTTGCCTCTTGTGGCGGCGGGGACTGCAAGATCACCTGCCGGCGAAGACTGCGGTGGTTCCCGGAGGCGTGAAAAGCCTTTGAACAATTTGTATCATTGCTATGTTGGAACAATCATCAGATTAAAAAAAAACAATACAACAAACAACTAAACAGGAACATTCAGCTCTGGGTTGCGGCCAAGTTTGATAGTAGAACAATAACAACAAAAAATCAGACCTTCGCAGTGGTGGTTGGGGGCACAATGCATTCACTCATCCGGTGATCCATGAACATGCAAGCTGCTGGCCCTCCCCAACTTGGATTGATCATATTACATTTGGTTATACAATGGAGATTCTACATGATTCTACCACCCATAAATGACAAGATACCTCAAGAACGTCTTCTTTTCTGAACAAAGTATTATAGTACATTGGTACACTGACTGGAAATATAGTGGAAGTGGATGGCATGGCCCTTTGGATGACAAACCATAGGACCCCCGAGGCCCTTGGAAGAGGCACCTGTGTGATCCACCGACAATCCGATCGCACTGCGAAGCCCTCCCCCCCAAAAACGGCCCTGGAGTGGTGATGTTGGGGGTAACATACAAGAACACGGAAGGCAAGTCCAAGCGTTTCAAGTGAACTTCAATGTTTTTTCCTTAAAAACCTGAAGCCAACGAAAGGAATTCATAAATTATGGAGCCCATGAGAATCAGAACTGGCGGAACAAGTTCTTTCGGACAATCAGAAACAGAGCAATTGCGAAACTGTGCCCGCGGCACCTTCAAGGACATGTTCACCCATCATCCCCACCCAAAATGAACACGATGACCCCGTGCAGATCCCTAAAGCAACGTCGTCATAGTAAAGACTATATTCTTTCTGGCATATCTTCCGACCTTCTTTCTGGCATATCTGCTAACATTCTTTTTAACATTCTTTTTCTGGCATAACTTCTGACGTTCTTTCTGGCGTATCTTCTGACATTCTCTCTGGAAAATCTTCTGACATTCTTTCTGAAAGAGATTCTGACGTTCTATCTGGCATATCTTCTGACTCGCGGATGAGGTCCGACGGGGAACACTGCCAAGCAGCCAGCCGAAGCTCGCGGTTGAGGTCCGGGGGGGAACGCTGCCAAGCGGAACTCGCGGTTGAGGTCCGGCAGGGAACACTGCCACGCGACCCTCGCAGTTTAGGTCTGGCGGGGAACGCTGCCAGCCGAGGTTCGCGGTTGAGGACGACGTGGAGGAGGAGGAGGAGGGAGGAGGAGGAGGAGGACGAGGTCAAACAGCTGACATAAAAATCTAACAACCCGCACCTGACAGGTGGGGAACAATTGGAATCCATGGCGACACCTCCCCATGCGGAGGTCCTCCGCATCATCAAAGCAACCGGCAAATTGCTCATCCTCCTGGTGCGGAAAGAACAGGCAAGATTTGCTGTCCGCTTCTTCACTTCTTTCACCCGACAAGATTTGGAGCTCTGTATAGTTTGTGTATGTTTCATGTGCCGCTGTTCTTTGATTTTGCTGTGTTCAACCCATGGAGGTGAGGCCTACAGGCCTCCATGCTCGCTCGTGTGCGGGCGACGTGAGCGAAATATCGACTCGGAACCGACGCCTCTTTCAGGGAGCGGGTGTCAGACGTGGACGGCGTGAAAGAGCTCTTCCGGCGATCCGAGATCTCATGCAATGCAGTAGGCGTGAGTGTGTATCAATGATGAGGGAAACTAAATCTGAGGAAGTTTATCTTAATAATAGTTTATCAAGGCTGGAGCAGCATCCGCACTCGCTAATCATCCTGCGAATGGTTCCTCTGGAGTCTCCTAGCCTTCCAATGCCGTGGACTGAAAAATAACGACTTCCGTGTTGTCCAGTCTGGATCAACCGCATGATTCACTGAGAAACATCATGTTACTATCATGGGTGCAATCATGGGTACTGTACAGCCCTTCCACCAATTCGCATCAAACATGTGTTGATTTCGGAATCTTAGGAACGAGATACTAGGTGGAGGCCATCGCTATTAGGTTGGAGGCCATGGCTACTAGTAACAAGAAGCTAGTCGGTTCATGTTTGATCTCTTGTATAGCTCCCATTTAAGAAGCCCGCAGCACCGCACGGCTCCCGACGGGTCTGGCAGTGATCGAACTTGAGGCTCAGCGTGTGGACCAGGAGCCGCACTACTAGTAGTTGGCTGGCGGCTGATAGAACGCCGCCAGCTTTTCTTCACGTTGTTGCTTTTCAGTTAATGCTACGTTGGGGATGGGGGTGGGGTGGGGTGGGGCATGTTAACGTTCGCTGGCACTTACGTCATGAAGTTGATGCTACGTTGGGGATGGGGGTGGGGTGGGGTGGGGCATGTTTACGTTCGCTGGCACTTACGTCATGAAGTTGATGCTACGTTGGGGATG